ACTCGGGAACAGGAGCCCTTCCTGGGCTGAACTGGGGATCAGGGTAGCGCTGACGTGGTGCTGGCACTGGAGGGTGCTCTGGAGGAGCAGGCACAGCAAAGCGCTTTCGAGGAGCCGGCACCGGGGGGCGCTCTGGAAGGCACTTACGAGGAGCGGGCACTGGGGCTGGAACCGACACTGGGCCCACATGAACGGATGGCGGGCTTGCCATATTATTGTCCGGCGGACTTGCCACATTAACGTCTGGCGGGCTTGCCATATTAACATCCGGCGGGCTTGCCTGAGGAATGGCCGGCTTACTTGACTCGGGAACGGCCGGCAGATGGGTCCCGGATCGGGATCGGAAGCTCTCCAGACACCGGATGACTCCCTCCTTCCAGCCGAGGTCGGTGGTGTCTGGGAGCTCTGCGGGACGATGGTAGGTTATCCCGATCCGGAACAGCGTCATGAGGGTTTCTCCCTTGAGGGAGCTGGCGAGGGCGAGCAGCACGAACGCCTTTGTGTAGAGGATCGGGTCGGGGTTCGCCTGAGCCACGGCAATTAACATCGCTCGTTCCTCCATTTGGACGGGGAAAAAACGAACGGGAAAACAAAACAAAAACACTTTTCAAAAAACGAAAAACAAACATGGGCAGAACGGGTGCCGCTTATTGTCACTTTTAGGTCTGGAATTCTGTCACGGTCGGTGGTAGTGTGAGGAGCGCGGAACGAGGAGACCAGGAGAACGATGGGGATAACTAATAACAAGGAACAGGTGATACTAATAATGTGAAAAGGAACTGGAAGGACCAAATAAGGAAAACAGGAACTCAACGGGAACATACACGTGACAGTCGTTGAGCAAATAAGGTAAAAATAAAAGCATATTATAAGACAATGAGTGGTTTTTGACCTTGCATGCATGTCAACCTGTTGTTGGGGATTCCCAAAACCAAAATATGAACCTTTCATTACCCATAATAGGGGCACTTTAATCTCTCTACATTATGATTTACATCTCACAATTCTGACTTTTTATTCCTCTAGTGTGACTCTTGTTATTGCAACTTTATATCTCACAATGTTGACTTTATATTCACAAGTGAGTTTTATTATTATTTTAAACATTCATCTTATTTAATTACTTGCTTTATTTTTTGTTGTAAAGCAGAAACTGGTTTCTGTCATCTCTCTCAGATAAAGTTCTCAAGTTTCTCAGCTTCCTAGCAGCAGAGTAACTGCAGTATTAGTGATGATGGTGGCAGAATTGTCATTAGTCTTCATTTATAATTTTTTAAGCTTGATCATCAATCTACAGTTTTTATATCAGCATTTGAAAATCTCCTGACAGTGGTGGTCAGCATCACTGTTATTAAATAAGGGTGAGACAAACCCTAATGCTCAAAGATCTGAGCTGATAACTGAAAGACTGCTGGTTCACATATGCCCCGTGAAGGACACTAAACCCCAAAGGACTGTCTTTATAATAACTGTACTCTAAGATGCTTTGACAAAAGTGTTTGCTTTAAATCACACAATCACCCCTTAAAGGACCAATCTGCAGTGAAGCAGTTTTACAATAACCAAAGGTTTTCAATATTATGACTGAAACACTAATCTCTGCTAATCTGATGATTTCTCAGAATGTGTTGAGGACAAAAATAACCATGTCTTCAAGGTAACACTCTAATATGTACATGCACGGTTCCTGTAGTGTGCATCATCATATGACCTTTATCAGATACACACCTTTGATGTCCTTCCCAAAGCCCATGGAGGATGCCACAGTCTGGCCTTTGCTGTTGGATTTCTCTTTCAGGACGTCGTCGTCATTAGAGGTGCTGTCTGCCCCATGCTTTTTCTTCTTCTTTTTGTGACGAGGTGGCAGTTTTTTGGGGAAAGTGAACATGGGGAAAATGACCAACAGCATGGCGAAAGCACAGAGCAGGAAACCACTCCACCTAAGAACATGTAAATATGGATGAATGATAATTAGGCGTTTGTTTGCTCTTTACAGAACAAGCAAAATGAACTGGAGACTTTCAGTGTTATTTTTTAGTAAAGTGTGCTCAAAAGTGGTAAAACTGATTTTATGCTATTCATTCAAAGGCTGGAATGAAAGAAATAAATCGAAATGGGGATCTCCAGCATTATTTATAGCAAAATGCGCTCAGAAAGTGGTACAATTTAATTTATGCCATTCTTTCAAAGGTTAGAATGAAATAAATGAATTGAAATGTGGATCTCCAGTGTTATGTTTAGTAAAATGTGCTCAGAAAGTGGTAAAAATTGAATTTATGCCATTCTTTTTAAGGCCGGAATTAATATATGAATTAAAATGAGTATCTACAGCTTTATTTCTAGTAAAATGTGCTCAGAAAGTAAAAAAATAAATAAATTTATGCTTGCTTTCAAAGGCTGGAATAAAAAAAATGAATTGAAATGGGGATCTCCAGTGTTAAATGTAGTAAAATGTGGTAAAAACTGAATTAGTTATTCTTTCAAATGCTGGAATGAAATAAATTAACTGAAATGGACATTTCCAGTGTTATTTTAAGTTAAATGTTTTTAGAAATGGGTAAAAATGGTATTTATGCTATTCTATCAAAGGCTGGAATGAAATTAATGAATTGAAATGGAGATTTCCAGCTTTATTTTTAGTAAAATGAGCTCAAAAAGTAGTAACAATGTATGCTATTCTTTCATAGACTGGAATGAAGCTACACACACTCTGATGCAGAACTGATCTTACCAGTTGCCAACAAAGCGTGGATCACTTTGGTCAATGTTGATGATGGTTTTGGGATCCACGTAGAAGCCGATCAGAACGCCTCCAAGCAGGTACCCTGCAGCTGGCCCCAGAGCCCCCATCACATACATTATAGCTGAAAGACACAAACAACCACGTTACAAACCACGCTCTGTACACCCACATAATAATTTTATTTTTTTTAATTTCACAGGATGTCTGATTAAGGCTGTTAATGTTCTTTCCACTTTCAGTGCCACTCTTGACTCATTGGGCGACTGATTCAGCCACACTGAGATGATGAAGAGTATGAAGGGGTAATCATTAATAGTGCGTCATGCTTCCACTAAGTTAAAGAACATCATGTATTAGTAGCAGTTTTCTAACTGCCTTGCAGCTCTGTTTATACACCAGATATGACAGTATATGGAGGAACAAACAAACAAGAGAAATTTAGTCGATTATTTTTAGTTAATCAAAAACATGCAGCATGACCAGTGTAGTCTGATTCCCGGAAAAAAATGACTCTTCCAAGCAATTATTTTTAGCAAATCAAAAATATACTGCATGACCTGTGTAGTCTGATTGTAGAACAATGAATCTTATGAGTTCTTATGAAAAATAAAAAAACATACAGCACCACCAGTGCATTCCAACTGTAAGTTTTCTGAAAGAATGACTCATATGAGCTAGTTATTTTTTAGTGAATTTAGAGAAACAGCATGCAGTTTGAATTTTTAATTAATGACACTTTGGAAGCTGGTTCTTCTTATTAAATCAAAAACATTCAACACGGCCAATGTAATCTAACTGACTCCCAACGAAAGACTCTTATGAGCCAGTTTTTTTTTTGTCTTCATGATATCAAAATTTTTGATACCATAGAAATTTCATAATTCTTGTCACCAGTGTCAATATCACAAAAAGCTAATGCTACTCAACCGCATTGAAGACAAGTAAATAGTCAGTGATTAAATAAAAATAAGAAATTAATTACAAGCAATAGGACAAAAAACTACAGTAAGTACAAATAAATAAGAAATGCTACATACATTGTATAATCAAATGTATAAAAACACAGCATATTCTTCACTGTTCGTCACTAAATTAAATATATATTTCTTCTTATTAAAGTTACAAAAGTGATTTAGTCAAGAGCAGTGAGAGATTTCCTCTCTTTTGTTGTTTGATTAACATGAATGACAGACAGCAGGACAATATTAGACTGCTGTCACTTTAAGAGCTGCCCAGAACCAATATACTGTTACACGTTTTCTTTCTCAGCTGTTTGCTTTACCTTAAAACTTACTGTGTTTACGAGGATACTTGAAAGATGAGCATTTTGACACATACAAGTGTGTATTTAACCGTTCAAGGCCTATAAAGTGGCAAAAATAACTCAATACTCCCGCGCTCTATGAGCACCGTCTTCACATGTGTGCGCCTCTCTGACAGCGCTCAGAAACAGTGTCTCAGACAATGCCCGCATATAGCGAAATGAGTTATTTTTCACTGCTGATTGCATTTCAATAGCTTAAAATGGCTTGTTTTTAAATCGCAATGCATAAAAAAGCATGCAAATGATACGTTTTCGTGACCACGTAGCACAGCAACATCACATGAGCGTGTAACTAAAGTAAAGTGTATGATATGACTTTTGTCAGAACCCATTAGTGACTTTATTTAATACTCCAACAAGATTAGCCAACAGTCTTTATTAGGGATGTAACGATTCACTCAACTCACGATTCGATTCGATTCATGATTTTGATTTCACGATTCGATT